TATACTTACACTGGAATGGATAAAATGAAACAGTCTACAATTCCAAGTGTTGACAAATATCTGCAAATACTAGACATTGCTGGTAGATATATAGAAACAGTTTGGAAAAGTTTGGCTTTTTATAAATTAAAGCCTATACTTACAATTTAACCCAGCAATTCTAATTGTGCATATTTATTCAAGAGAAATGGAAGCACATGTACGTAAAGTCTTGTACATTTGCTGTTCATAAACTTTATTTATAATAGCCCAAAATGAAATAATTCAAATATCTCTCAAGAAGTTAATAGATAAACTGTATATTTATGCAATGGAGTACTTCTCAGTAATGAAAAGGAACAAACAACTAAATCATACATCATGCATGAATCTCAAAATCAATGCTGAATGAAAGCAGTCACAATTAAGTAAGTACCACATGATTCCATCTCTATAACATTTTGACTATAACATAGTCAAAATTAATCTAGTGTCACAGAAGGCAGATCAATAGTTGCTTATTAATAGCTCTGTGGGGGCATAGATGAATGAGCCAGAGGGAAATGGGGAATTCATGAGGTGACATGTTTATGTCAAAATTTGTAAGACTTAAAATGGGTACATTTTAATATATAATTGTACTTTAATATGAGGAGTGACCCCCTTCAAAAAAAAAACACAGAAAACCAAAGAACAGAATTATCTTTTAGAGGGCGGGTCTCTTTTAAGTACACTTGGAATTTGTTCCTCCAGATTAAACAGTAAACCAGAGTTTTTTTCCGGAAGTTTTGAGAAGGTTGTATCATGATTTGTGGAAGAAACGTCCGAGTTGTGGCAAACAGGTGACTGGTTTTTCCACCATGACAATACACTTGGCCACACCACACTCAGTGTTCCCCAGTTTTTTACCAAAAACGGCATGTGACCCCATGCTCCACCCTCCTTATTCACCCCATCTCAGCCTAAGCGACTTATTTTTGTTTTCCCAGATGAAAACAGTCCTCAAAGGGAAACGATTTCCTGATGTGGAAGAGGTGAAACAAAACACAGCAGAAGCACTAAAAGGCATTGTAAGGTAAACGAAACCAGACCAGGTGAACCGGCAGCAAAGGAGCCAAGAAAAATTTATTAGCGCAGTCCCAGGCGAGGTTGACTGGTCCATGTAGCTGTGGGCCGGAGAAGTCGTGCCCAGCAAAATGGGCGATGGGTTTATAAAGGGCACACTGAGAAAGCTGTGAGGGGGTCAGGGAGAGCAATCACTGGTAGGGACAGCTGTCACATCTGCTGGCGACTGACTGAACGGTGTTGCTAGAGTTGCTGTAACAGGTACTGGCTGCCTTTGCGGCTGGAGTCTTGATTCCGGTCACTCGTTTTTGCTGGCTCACTCTCTCCCATTGTGCTCCTGGTCCGGGTTGGAGCCATCTTGTTGAGGCCCGCCCTGCCCTCCGGTACCTCCGGCCTTACAGGCATCACAATTGACAATTTCAGAAACTGTTTTGAGCAGTGGAAAAAGAATCTTGATAAGTATATTGCATGAAACGTTGAGTACTTTGAAGGTGACTAAAGTTTTAAACTTGTAAGAATAAATACACACCTTTTTATAAATTCCATTTTTAGTCCTCCTTCATAGAGTTGATTAAAAATTAAAAAGTAGATTTCATTCATTAGAATTCATTAGAAAATATTTAATAGGACTATTGACACTAGAATAATTAACACTTATTAGAATAAATGTAATGTACTTTGAAAGAGTGCCCTTACACTCAATAAGAATAACAATTATAGGCAACTAAAGGTAATTTCTCATATTAGAAGTGTTTAAAAAAATAGATACAAAACATATATTAGTAGGTAATTTTTTGAATCTGAAAGTGTTATAACAGGATAACAGGAGTAGCACAGTCCCTGTTGCACTGGCCTACTATATTGCTTTTTTGCTTGTCGTTTGATTGTCTCATGTTCTGAGACTTGGTTAACTTCCTCTCTCTCTGTCTCTCTCTCACCCCCCTCCCCTGTCTGTCTGTCTCTCTCTCCCACCTTCATTCCTTCTCTCTTTTTTTTTAAATGCATGTTTTTTGCCCCCCTAAAAACTCCTTATCAAGACCTTAAATGCTCTTCCCAGAAGATCTTTTTACATCTTAGACAATATTTTATGCTTCAGTGAGTACCATATGTCAGTTTTAATACTTGTGACTAAGATACTGACCCATTTTGAAGTTTATTTCCTTAGTATGTTTTTATTCTAACAGAGCTTAGTCCTTAGTCAAGTTAAATTTTATCCATTTGAATACATTTACTTTTTTCATTGTGAATATTTACTTAACAGTAAAATTTTGTTCTATTTATCTTAATCTAGGAGTGGGTTTTTTTTCATTTAAAAATGATTGTATTTGGCCCTTAACACTGGAGAGATCCTCTAATGCTGCCCAAGGGCATCCTAGACTGTCCTGCTGCTGAGCATGCCAGGTTCAAATGGCAATGGAGTAACTAATAGAGCTCAGGAATTTATTGAATTACCCTTAGAGAATAGTGAAAAAATAAGATTTCAATATATCTTAAAAGGTTTAAAAGCAATATCGAAAGCCCAAATGTATAGTATTTGGTAAGGGCTTTGAGGATGTTTTAAAATTTCTTAGTGAAATGTAAAGATTTTAAAATAATTTCTCGGCTTGAAATGTTGTCATTTAGAATACTATTCTATTTAATGCCTCCTTTTTTATTAACCAAATTTTGCTTATTATGCTGGGTCTATTTGAAGTGATAGGTTTTTCTTTAGGAGACCTTGTGAGATAAGCAAAGAAGAGATATATATTGGTGAGTTGCTTAATTTATCATTAGGAGAATCAATATTTAATTGAAAATTTTTTTTTCTGTATTCAGTGTGTCAGAAGTCTTTAAGATGCCCATAGCTTTTAACTCAGTGATTACACTTATAGGTAGTATCTTCAACACATAGCATGAAATATCTAAAAAACACATATAAGTTACATATAAATTTCAGTTAATCATATTGTCACGTTTTAATAGTGGAAATAAAAACCACTTTAATGCTTACCAGTATGAGAGTGATTAGGAAAGTTAAAATGCACTTATAGAATAAGAGTATGGCAATAATAAATGGGAAGAGTTGTCTTTTTAAAAGCTATGTGCTAATGTATCTTAAAAAAATCAATTTTGAGCCTCTATAAAATTATAGATATGATAAAAATTATAAGAAACCAGTAACAGTTTTTTTCCAGGTGGTAGAATCATAGGTAATTTTTCTATATTTTTAAAACTTAACACAGTGATTATATCTTATTTTAATAGTCAGAATAACATTAAGATGGCACTTACTGTGTTGTGAAGCCTATAAATACTAGAAAAGAAGCAAACATTTACTCAGAGTATTGCCTGAGATTACAAAATAGCATCTACTCACTAAAGAATTTTTATTTTTTGTGGAGTCTCTTTGATATTTAATCAATTCTTGGTTGTCTCAAAATAAGTGGCCTACAATTTGACCTTTAGCTCTATTATATTTTCTTTTTTATAATCTACTTGATTTTAATAAGTGTTTTTCCAACATTTCTTTCTTTTTTTTTCCCCAGGGTGTTTTCCTGGTCTTTCTTTCCATGATGTGACTGTGCAGGCTAAAAAGAAAAAGATGTGTTTGCAACTAAAATTGCCTCATCCTTGGTGTTTTTCAGCACATGTTCACTATATGTAACTAATGCTGTTACATATATTACATGTAAGACAAATTATACTCCCTTTTTTTTTCTTAATCTACAGAGATTCACCAACAAAAACAAATTACAGTCTGGCTTGAAAAGTACATCTGTGTTCAATTTTGTCTTGGCAGCTTAATGACAGAATGGCTTATTGTATTTAAATGTTTCATAGTACTTAGTTTTTCTTCCTTACATGTTTGTAAGTGTATCAGATCTGTGACTGTGTCCTCTTAGTGTTCTCTGAAGTATCCCAGCACACACATGCAGATACATACAGAAAATTTTTATTGAATGGATAAATAGAACCTTATTTTTGGTGTTGGTTCAGGAAACTAAAATAAAATGTTCTCTTAATGAGTGCAGATTTTCTGAGGCACAGATGAAATTTAACTTTCTCCATGTGATTCAGAGAGCCAGAAGACCCTTGAGCTGATTACCAATGTAAAAGTTAAAAAAATCAACCTACAAACATTTACATAATTTAAAGCAATGAACAAACATTTAAATAATTGTAAGTAATTTAAATAATTTAATTTCTGAGAATAGCAATGGTTGTCATGTGGACAACCAAGAGTAGCATGAGTTATAGTTCCTATTTATGTAGGATTTCATTTGACTGAATCCTAACTCTTTTTAGAACTGGTTTAATTTTTTTCTTTGTTCTTTGATCTATATTTATTTTTATGAGCTTACATTTTAAGCTTCTTATTAACTTATTAAGTTAATTTTATGCACTTACATTTATTGTAGTTTATCGATTCCAATTATTTATTCTATTTTTTTTTTTTTTTTTTTTAATCAGAGTTTCAGTCTGTTGCCAGGGCTGGAGTGCAGTGGCACAGTCACACCTCACCACAGCTTTAACCTCCTGGGCTCAGGCAGTCCTTCTGCTTCAGCCTCCCGAGTAGCTGGGGGTAAAGGCATGTGCCACCACACCTGGCTAATTTTTTAAAAATCTTTTGTAAAGACAGAGTCTCCTATGTTGCCCAGGCTGGTCTCCAACTCCTTCCCTCAAGCAGTCCTCCTGACTCAGCCTCCCAAAATGCTAGGATTAAAGGCGAGAGCCCGTCCTCATTATTTATTATACTTAAACTTTTTGCTTGGGTGTACTTTACCCTATATTTTATTTCAGTATTATCTCACATTATTGTCTAATGCTTATTGTTAGCACCACCAATGAAAATGAAGGTTATGAGTTATCTGGTATTTTAAAAGACATGTTTAGCTTACATGCAGTCATCAAAATAGAAGAAAATGTATCCGGTTGCATTAAGAGTTACCCTAATTTCCTTTTGTCCCCGCTTTCAGTTTCTCTTGAAGATTGACTACGCTGGCTATGCTGCTGTTCTTCACGCTGGGACTGCTCGTACATTTTGTGTTCTTTGCCTCCATCTTTGACATTTATTTTACTTCTCCTTTGGTTCGTGGAATGACTCCTCAGTTTACACCACTGCCTCCCCCAGCGAGAAGATTAGTGCTGTTTGTTGCTGATGGCCTCCGAGCAGATGCACTTTATGAATTAGATGAAAACGGAAACTCTAGAGCGCCATTTATCAGGTAAGTACGTCCAGGGATACAGCGATAACTCTTTAAGATGTTACCCTGAGTCTAAGTCAACAGCAAGTATCTCACTGTTTATCTCACACTGGACACAGGAGCGATGGTGAGAAAGAAAATGGGGCGCTTGTACATTTGCCTGTGTCTTCCGGGTTAGCACCGTATGCCAGTTTGTTTCCTCCTGGTTATTATTTCTACTAATGTCGAAGCTGATAACAGGTGAATTGAAATGGACAGCCGTAGCTGCTGGAACTCACTTGTCCTAAGTTCGCAAACCTAGCCCACAACTCTCTCCCTGTCTGTCCCCCTCTCTCTCTCTATGTATATTACATGTATACACATACACATATATATCAAGACCCCCTCTCTAACAAAATAAGAAAATTAATCTGCTAGTTTTGTAAAATAAAGACAAGCATAATTATTGAATTACTAATTACAGTGGTGTTTAACTAGAAAATATAGACATCAAATTAAGATATAATCTTTTATTAAAAAATATAAAACCCTTTCTTTTAAGTCTCTGTCACTGTTTAATGTAACTTTAGCTTCTGTTGAGTAGCTTCTAAAAGAAATATTTTGTTTTTTTGGACTTATGAGGCTGCTACAAACAATTGTTCTTTTTCTGATTGGTGACAAGCCCCTCAAAAGCCCTTCTAATGATGTGGAACGATCAAAATCAGATTCAAGGGGAAATTTATCCAAAATATTCTGCCTCCTCCATCCCTACCTGTCATCATTACTTTCTGTTCCTTCACCCTTTTGTATTTTTCTTTATAGTACTTATCACTGTGCAAGTTCCATGAGGGCTGGGACTTACATGCCACTTTATCTTCAGTTCCTCGAACATAGTAGGCAATTAACAAATATTTATTGACTGCTAGAAGAATGAATACTACCTTGAATTTTCAGAAATAAATTTTTGGGGGCTCAAAGAACTGCATAATATAATAAAGGATAAAAATAAGTACATGAGTGACTCAGGTCAATAGGAGCACCTTAGTGGGAAAATAATATCAAACCAGTGTTAATTATAGTACATAATCACATGTAACATAAATATCTAGAAATAATTAAAACATTTGAGTAAATTTCTTAGTTGTCAAAGCAGAGAGAAAAATGCAGTTCATTTCTAAATTAATAAGGTATACTGGTTGTTAAGGAAAAGTCAAACTTTCCTGGTGACACTTATTTCTCCTTGGGGATTTACTAAAGGAAGTGCTTCGGACTGAGAGCTTAAGCAGTTGATGTGTTTTGTGTTGTATGCCATTGTATATTTATAATTGAAGAAATCTTCTAGCTTGTTGTAAACCTGTTTTTAAAAAAATATGATCTAAAGTAATGTTTTTAAATAGAGGTATCCAAATTTCTTATACTTTCCCTTTCTGTTTAATTCCAGTTTTCTTTATATAACTCGAGAAGTTAAAGAATATTTCTCCCATAATATTTGATCCAATGGTTTTCAAATCATTTACTGATTCTATGTATTTCACCAAAATTGGTTTCATTATTGGGTAAACCAATATTAAAAGAATCTATACCAGTACTTACATTTTTCTTCAGAACGTATTGAGAGTCAAATATTTATCTTGAAAAATGTTATTGCTGCAGTGATTGTTTCATAACTCATTACTCTGCTGGCCTTTCACCTCTAATAGCATGATTTTGCTTTCTTTCCTAGATTTTGCACATCACTATAATATAACTTAAATAATGATACATTTTAGCAAAAGAAATATTTTGCCCATTTTAATCTCAAATTGAAGAATATTGTTTAACTCCTAATTAGGAGTATAGCCGTTTTCCTCCTTAATTTTTTATTTTAGAATTCTTCAGCTACACATAAATTGAAAGGATTATGTGATGGACATTGTATATCTTTAACCTAGTTTGATAATTTTAACTTTTTCATATTTATATTCTCTTTCTACACACACACCACGCACATAAATGGGAGTACACCTAGTTTTCATTATCTTTTTCCTTAACAATTTGAAAGCAAGACATTATGACACTTCACCTTAAACACTTCTGCATATATCTCTTAGGGACAAAGACTTTCTTTTATATAACTACAATGCTATCATCATACTTAATACAGTTTAATACTGGTATGTATAGATATATATCATTTATCACTATGTAATAATCTCAATATTTTGTGGCTGAAACAACTACGTGTATTTTATCTCATGATTCTGAATGGTGGGTAAGTGGTTCTTTGTTGGTCTCATCTGAACTCATTCATGCTACGGCATTCAGCTGGTGGGATCTAGGACTGGGCTCAGTTGGGATTTGAAGGATTCCTTTCCTTCCTATGCCTTGACTCGCTTTTTTGTTTTTGATTCATTCTGTAATAATCTTATTTTTCTAAAACCTTATAAGAGTATTTAATAATAGTCTATACTAACTATTCATTTTTAATATCTTTTAGGAATATCATAATGCATGAAGGCAGTTGGGGAATTTCTCACACACGTGTCCCAACAGAGTCTCGGCCAGGTCATGTAGCTCTCATAGCTGGGTTTTATGAAGATGTCAGTGCAGTTGCCAAAGGTATTGCCTCTTTAGACAATTAAATAAAAAATTTGTCTTATAAATATTCCTTTGTTACTACTGAATCATGTCACAAAGTAAAAAGTGTGTTTTGAGATATTCTTGACAAGTGTTTTAGCATGCCTTGCTGACATGAACACACACTGCTATTGATTCTAGAATTGGGCTTTAGTATTCCATTATCCTGTGCTATTGAAAATGTGTGTGTGTGTATGAGGCGGGGAACACAACATCAGTAAGGGTGCTGGATCTCAAACCAGGCAAAGTGGGGACCAAAGGGTGGCCCAAACTTTACCTGTACGATGGCCATTTGTATACCTGATCCTGAATTGTACCCTACATCTTTAAAGCAAAACATGTTAATAAAACAAAAACAAAAAGAAAGAGTGTGGTTGGATGGATCCTTGGTTTCCCTAGATATTACTCTTCAAAGTTCAGAAGTGATTCTATATTTTAGTAAGAAGTAAATCAGCTATTGTTAGTTTTTTAAAAATAATGGTATAATACTCATAATATAAAATATATTATTTTCTATCGTTCTCCAAGCAATATCATTGATATTATTTGAAGAATACTTCTTTAAGGTCTTATTTTACCATGTATATTTTGCTTTCATCATTGCTTTATTTTTTTCTCAATTGCCTGAAGGCTGGAAGGAAAATCCTGTAGAATTTGATTCTCTTTTTAATGAAAGCAAGTACACGTGGAGCTGGGGAAGCCCAGATATCTTGCCTATGTTTGCCAAAGGTAAGAGTCAGTCACTGATTTTATTCCCTCAGGTAGTGGAAAGGTAATAAATCAATATGGTATTTGTATATATGTTGCTTACTGTATTTACACAGTATTTGTAAATACTGTATACACATATTTTCACATTTTTAGCATTTCTGAAATATGAAAGTATGTGACAGGATTAGATATACCAATTTAACTGGCGATGTTTTTTCCTTCTTAGCTGTACTTGAAATATTGGCATATCAGGCAGGTAGGAAATATTTCGGGCTCAATGAAATGGTATATTGTTCTGTTACTTAACAGTTTTATAAAAAGCTTTATAAACAGCTTTATAATCTCTATAATTCAGTTTTCCTTTTTATAAAATGTGATAATAATTTCTGTCTCATAGGTTTGTTTACACTTTGATAAATTATTAAAGAAGTTAGATATTCATATCCATATTTAAAATGTGTGTTTATAATGTCTATTTGAATATATTGACTATGCCAAATATTTTGGTATTTTATATGACATTAATATATAGTATTTATTATATTGAAATGCCATGTTCAATATGTTAAATATACTGAATTAAATAAGCTAAGTATATTTAATATGGCATTTGGATTTATTGTGATTACTTATATGTGATTCTGATAGTATTAGGACATCTCTTGATTAGAAAGTTCATTTATATTAGTTTCTAAAATCAGTTGAATAAATTTCACTTATTAACTGCCTTTTAGTGAGAGCTAAAAGTAGTGATTGATTATTTTACTTGGAAAATATTTGTAACATTATACTGAGCCGTAGTTATAATTATAATAATGGGAACTATTGAAGATTAGTATGTGTTCAGAAAGAAAAATATATATTCAGAATTTTACATATGAAATTCCTAGAACATTATTGTACTGGGCAGATCAAAAACCTCAAGCGTATATATATATATGTACACAGATATCTTTATATATATAAATAGAGGTATCTTTTTAATTTTCTTCTTTGGAAAGTAGTTTAGCGTTTTGGTGGGCTGGTGATGGTGAGAGTAGATTAAGCTGCTATGGTTTACCAAACTAACCTTTCTACTTCTGACTGCAATTGATGGGACATGATCAATGCTTGCATCAGAGAAAGTCTAATAGGAATGTTTTGCTTCTTGTAGTAGCCAACACATCCACTCAGATCTTTTTATTTGGGACATGGGAAATTGAGTGGCTGAGCAATAGAAGAGGGTCCTTAGAGCTGAACTGATGCTATCAAGATTATCATTCCTTTATTATATCTCTTCCTTATTACCTGCAAGGGCCTATTTAACCCAGAAATTCAGTAAATTCACTAGATTCTTAATAAAATCTTACAAATGTATAAGATTAATCTATTAACCCCCTTCAAAATATTTGACAATAAACAATATTTGTTTTCTTATATTGAGAAAAATACGCATAGTATTTGAATAAGAGAAGTGAAATATTTGAACTTTCTTCGTACTCTGAGAAGGTTTATATACCACATCTCTTCAGCTATTTTAGATTGGAACATCCTAGGGAACACACTTTTAAAAAAATAGTTTAATCCTTACAGGGAGACAAACTGTGGTTATTTTCGCTTTATTGCTTATAATTGTGACTTTGGCAAGTTAATTAACTTACATGTAATGTATCTGCAAAATTAAAATATGTTATCATGAGAAGAGAAAACAATGGAATATATTAAAGTACACAGCATGGTTGATGGCATATAAATCAGTGTCAATTATTCCCCCCATCTTTCTCTTCCTCATCATAACGCATTGTACTTTGTGGAAAATTCTAATTACTCTCAAAAATCTGTAAATGACTCTCATATTTTATGATAGTTTAAAATATTTTTTACAATTTTACTTTTCCCAAATTCTGTTTTCAGGTGCTAGTGGAGACCATATTTATACACATAGTTATGATGCCAAAAAAGAGGATTTTGGTGCTCAAGATGCAACAAAATTGGATACCTGGGTTTTTGATAATGTTAAGGTGTGTGTTATTGAGTGATTAATGTACAAAACACTTAGTTTTACCTAAAGTACTGTAAACTGATTTGTTTGTAAATTATCTTAAGTTTTTTCTGCTTGCATGTACTTGAAAGTTCTATTTTATAGCACACTATTATGAAAAATAAGACTGAATTCTAATAATTTACACATAGTAGAATAATCAATTAATAGAAGTTTAGAAAAATAATTTTTTAAAAATAGCCTTTCAAAATTCTATGTTTTTGATAGTAAAATGTGCCCTAGCTTAGGATTAAGGAAATATACATTCAATTTCCAGTTTGATAAATCATACAAGGAAATGTTTGATCTTTTGTTTCTTGCAGTAGTAGACGGTGTGAGATTTGTGAAAGCCTTTGGAAAGATACTGTTTAAATGTAATGTATTTATTATAACAAAGTAGATGGTTTTTTTTTAAATTGTACTTTAAAGAAAAATTGGATAAGCAAATTAAACAAAACACATTAGCAAGTTAATCATAATAAAATACCTATGAGTTTCTTTACGTAATAGAGTTTTATGAACTATTTGATAGTTATCACAGTTGCATTAGGAACATAGTATGGAAATCTCCATTGTGGACATAAGCTCTCCTTTTTTTTCTCATTTTATTTATTTATTTATTTTTGAGTTGGAGTCTCACTCTGTCGCCCAGACTGGAGTGCAGTGGCCGCTCCCGGCCACCGCAGCCTTGACCTGCTGGGCTCCGGCGATCCTTCCGCCTCCGCCTTCCAAGTAGCCGGAATTACAGGCATGCGCCACCACGCCCGGCTGATTTTTTGATTTATTGTAGAGATGAGGTCTTGCTGCCCAGGCGGGTCTCGAACCCGAACCCGCGGGCTCAGGCAATCCACTCACCTCAGCCTCCCAAAGGCGCGGGATTACAGGCTGAGCCACCGAACCAGGCTTTTTTCTCATTTTAGTTTTAGATTCAAGAGGTATGAGTGCATGTTTGTTTCACGGACATACTGTGTAGTAGTGGGGATTGGCTCTCAGGTGGCCCATTCCCCAGATAGTAACATTGTACCCAATAGGTAATTTCTAAACCCTGGCCCCTCCTTCCAGCTCCCCATTTATTGGTGTCTCCAGTCAGTGTCTATTAATTTTATCTTTGTAGCCATTTAGCTCCTGCATATAAGTGAAATCATACAGTGTTTGTTTTCTGTTTCTCATTTCACTTAGGAGGATGATCTCCAGCTCCATCTATGCTGCTGCAAAGGATATGATTTCATTCTTTTTTTATGGCTGTGTAGTATTTCATGATAGATAGATAGATAGATAGATAGATAGATAGATAGATAGATAGATAGATAGATGTCACATTTACTCTATCCAGTCAATTGTTGGTGGGCACTTAGGTTGGTTCTATCTTGCTATTGTGAATAGTGCTGCAATGAACATATGAGCACACGTATCTTTTTTGTATAATGATTTCTTTTCCCTGAAGTAGATCCCTAGTAATGGGATTGTTAGATCGAATGCTAGTTCTATTTTTAGTTCTTTGAGAAATTTCTATTCTGTTTTCCATAGAAGTTGGAATAGTTTACAATCCCACTAATAGTGAATGAGTGTTCCCTTTTCTCTGCAACTATGCCAATATCTGTTGTTCTTTGACTTTTTAATAATAGCCATCCTGATTTGTGTAAGGTAATATCTTATTATGGTTTTAATTTGCATTTCTCTGATGATTAGTGATGTAAAGCATTTTTTGATATGCTTGTTGGCCACTTGTGTGTCTTCTTTTCAGCAGTGTCTATTCATGTCCTTTGCCCACTTTTCAATAGGGTGGTTTGATTTTTTAATATTTGTTTGAGTTTCTTATGATTCTGGATAGTAGCCCTTTTTCTGAGACATAATTTGCAAATATTTTCTCCCATTCTGTAGGTTTTCTGTTCACTCCATTGATTATTTCTTTAGCTATGCAGAGACTTCTTAGCTTAATTAAATCTCATCTATCTATTTTTGTTTTTGTCATAATTGCTTTGGGTGTCTTAGTCATGAATTCTTTGCCTAAGCTGATGTCTAGAAGAGTGTTTCCTAGATTTTTTTCTAGGATTTTTATAGTTCCAGGTCTTACATTTAAATCTTCAATCTATATTGAGTTAATTTTTGTATATGATGAGAGGCAGAGGTCCAGTTTCATTCTTCTGCATATGGCTAACTAGTTGTCCCAACACCATTTATTTAATAGGGTGTCTTATTCTGATTGTTTTTGTTGACTTTTCAAAGATCAATTGGTTATAGGTATGTAGCTTTACTTCCTGGTTCGCTATTCTGTCCCATTGAGCTATCTGTCTACTCATGTACCAGTACATGACATTTTAGTTACCATAGCCTTGTATTATAATTTGAAGTCAGGCAGTGTGATGCCTCTCCATTTGTTCTTTTTACTGTGAATTGCTTTGGCTACTCTGGCTCTTTTTTAGTTCCATATAAATGTCAAGATTGTTCTTTTTAGTTCTGTGAAAAATGATGTTGGCATTTTTATAGGGATTGTGTTGAATCTGTAGATTGCTTTGGGCAGTGTGGTCATTTTAACAAAATTGATTCTTCCAATCCATGAACATGAGATGCTTTTTCATTTGTTTTTCATCTACAATTTATTTCATTAGTGTTTTGTAGTTCTCCTTGTAGAGATCTTTTACCTTCTTGGTTAGGTGTATTCCTAGGTATTTTATTTTTTGTGGCTAATGTAAATGGGATTAAGTTCTTAACTTGGTTCTCGGCTTGGGCATTACTGGTGTATAGAAATGCTACTGATTTTTATACAGTGACTGTTTTTTTTTTAATTTTTAGCTTTATTTTAAAGATACAATTCAGAGTTAGGCATATAAGTGGGATACAATTCAGAGTTAGGTATTTAAGTGGTCATAATACAGGTAAAGTTTGGGTACCCTTATTGATGTTATATGCATCCCCCTCCCCTGGCAGTGTCCCACTACTGTCAATCCCTTTCTTATAGTATTATGATAAATGTTCAGGGTCTGCTTATGAGAAATAGACATTGACTTTGTATCCTCATATTTTACTGAAGGTGTTTGTCTGTTCTGGAAGCTTCTTGGAAGAATCTTTAGGGTTTTGGGGAATACAATCATGTCATTAGTGAACAGGGATAGTTTGACTTTCTCTTTGCCAATTTGGGTGTCTTTTATTCCTTTCTCTTACTTTTAGAAGTTGCTCTTGCTAGGACTTCCAGTACAACGTTGAATAAGAGTGGTGAGAGTGGATATCTCTGTCTTGTTCAAGTTCTGAGAGGGAGTGTTTTCAACTTTTTCAAAAGTTTTTCATATATGACTTTTACATATTTTGAGATATGTACCTTTGATGCCTAGTTTGTTGAGAATTTTTACCATGAAGAGTGCTTTTCTGCATCTATTGAGATGATCATATGGTTTTTGTTTTTGCTTCTGTTTATGTGGAATCACATTTATTGATTTACAGATATTGAACCATCCTTGCATCCCTGGAATAAAATCCACTTGGTTGTGCTGGATTATTTTTTTGAGATGCTGTTGAATTTAATTTGCTATTATTTTGTTAAGGATTTTCCATCTATATTCATTAGGGATATTGACCTGTAGTTTTCTTTTTTTGGTTATATCTTGTCTGATTTTGGTATCAGTGTGATATCAAAATGGTATGATTTCATAGAATGAACTTGGGAAGAGTCCCTTCTTCTTGATTATTTGGAATACTTTCAGTAGGATTGGTACCAGCTTTTTTTGTATATCTGATAAAATTTGACTGTGATTTCATCTGGCCATGGGGTTTTTGTTGTTGAAAGATTTTTAATTACTGATTCAACTTCATTGCTCATTATTGGTGTGTTCACGGTATCTATTTCTTCCTGGTTCAGTCTTAGGAGGTTGTATGTTTCCAAGGATGTATCCATTTCCTCTAAGTTTTCCAATTTGTTACCATGAGGTAGTCATAGTAGTCTCTGATTTTGTTTATCCTTTCAAAGAACCAACTTTTGTATTTATTGATCATTTGTATCATTTTCTTGGTCTCAGTCTCATTTAGTTCTGATCTGATCTTTGTTACTTGTTTTCTGTGCTAACTTTTAAGTTTAGATTATTCTTGTTTTTTTTTTTAAGTTCCTGGAGGTTTAAGCTGTTGATTTCAGATCTTTTTATCTTTCTGATGTAGGCCTTTAGTGTTGTAAACTTTCCTCTTGACATTGTTTTTGCTGTGTCCCAGAGCTTTTGGTATGTTGATCTATATTTTCTTTCATTTAAACAATTTTTTTAAATCTGTGCCTTAATTTCATTGTTTACCCAAGAATAATTTAAGAGTAGATTGTTCAGTTTCCATGTAGTGGTGTGCTTTGGAAGTTCCTCTTAGTGTTGACTTCTAATTTTATTCCACTGTGATCAGAGAAGATGCTTGGTATAATTTTGATATTTTTTAATTTATTGAAAGCCAAGGATATGGTCTATTTTGGAGAATGTTCCACCATGCAGAGATGTGAAGAATGTGTTTTGCAGTTTTTGGGTGGAAAGTTCTATAGATGTCTGTTAGGTCCATTTGATCTATAGCCTAGTTTAAGTCCAGTGTTTCTTTGTTGATTTTATGCTTTGATGATGTCTAGTGATGTTGGTAGGGTGTTGAAGTCTCTCACTATTATGTATTGTTATCTGTATGTTTTCAAAGGTCAAGTAATGTTTGCTTGCTCCAGTGTTGGTTGCACATCTTTAAGATAGTTGCATCTTCTTGTTAAATTGCATACTTTATCATTTTATAATGCCCTTCTTTGTCTGTTTTTACTGTTGTTCATTTAAAGTCTTTGTTATCTGATAGCAGTATGCTACTCCTCATTTTTATTTTCTATTTGATATACCACATGGTCATGTTTAGCAGCAAGGAAGGATGGGAAATATATAAATTTTAAGCTATCAGCATTACTGTGTACCATAAGATAAAAGGATTTTGCTCAGGGAGAAGAGGAGAATGCATGTTGGGGTAATCATTTAACAGCCTCCCATGATACTTAATAAATATTTGTTGGGTACAGAAATGAATGATCACTTAGAATACAACAGAAATAAAGATGCTGGGAATATATTTTACCTCTTATGTCCAGAAGATCAACTTTTTAAAAGGCAATGGGAATCTGACAGAGAAAGAGGATGATCTCTGCAAGATTAGCATTTCATAGTTTCCCATATCTCATGTGCTTATATGAATGAATAGCACTTTTTACATAGCCAAATATTTTTTTTGCTAGTCATGGGGCAAATTATAAGTTTAACTCAAGTCAGTTGCTCAGTTTGTTTTTTGCCAACTTTTAAATTGTATTTAGAATTTCCAAGTCCTTTCTCTTAAAGAATTTGTCATGTTCTTCTAGATTTAAAATTTCTTAAGAATTGGGTAGAATGTTTATGAAACTTAGGGGCAACTTTATACTTTTGAGGAGGATGATAGCAGGTTGCAGATCATATTTTTAAATGTACTTTTATTCTTGAATGGCTAGTTTCACCAATTGCACCATTTGTATTTTTTTAACATTTATAATAATGAATTATTTGATAAAATACTTAAATGCTTAAGACTTTTGAAAAGTTAAATATCTTTTATTGTTAAAAGTTAACATCTACACATTAGAGACATTTATGAGAACAACAAAGATATAACTTAGTATAGCCTGTTGACTTATTTAAAATAATGTAGAAGTACTCTTCATAGGTACTTGTATACGTGTTCATGTATATGTGAGTGTGGGGTGAATGAGCCCTTGCTTTATGAATCCAATTTACCAAGATGAAATTAATATAATTTGAAACATACTTTATTAATTGGGTGCTTTCCTATCGTGCAACATGAAGAACAGATTCTAGATGGGGCAAAAGAAGTAGTTAGAAAGTTATTTGCGCCGGGCTCGGTGGCTCAGCCTGTAATCCCACGCCTTTGGGAGGCTGAGGTGGGTGAATTGCCTGAGCCTGCGGGTTCGAGACCCACCTGGGCAGGCAAGACTTCATCTCCACAATAAATCAAAAAATTAGCTGGGCGTGGTAGCACGTGCCTGTAGTTCCAGCTACTTGGAAGGCTGAGGCAGAAGGATCGCCGGAGCCCAGCAGGTCGAGGCTGCAGTGGCCGGGAGCGGCCACAGCACTCCAGTCTGGGCGACAGAGTGAGACTCCAACTCAAAAAAAAAAAAAAGACAACTATTTGCAATGTTCAGAATGAGAGATTGTGTTTGTGCTAGGGTGTTAGTAGACAGGACAAAGAGAGGTGGTCCCCAGCTCTAAATGTTAAAAAATCATTCTTAAACTGTTACCAGTATTACTATTTTATTTTTGACTCTTGCCAAAACACGTTTTCAATCTCTTGTATTATATTAAGTTAGATGTGAGATGAGCAATGTTATGAGATCTTTATAACTCAAGATCTCCTTTCTGTAACTATTTTTGGCCTTTAGTATAGCACAGAAAATAGCTCACTTATTAAACACAGATGTCTGAACTGATAACAAAGTCTTTGTGTTTGTAGGTCTTGAGGACAAGTTTAAACAATGTTAGGCAATTTAATTCTGTAGTTATATGTAAATGTAAGTATTTTCATCAGTATTATTTTTAAAAGAAAATAAATGAACTAAAAGTTTTTAACTGATTTGTTACATGCAGGACTTCTTTCATGCTGCCAGAAACAACCAGTCTTTGTTTTCTAAAATAAATGAAGAAAAAATAGTTTTCTTCTTACATTTATTAGGAATAGATACAAATGGACATGCTCATCGACCATCATCAAGGTAATTTAATAGTTTTATTTTTTAAAGTAAATAGCTATGCTGTTTGAACTTTTAAAGTATTGTGATGTTTTGTTTGTAGTTACAATAACAGAGCTAATATTTCAAATAAAAGATGTAATATGATATAGAGGTTAAAATAACATCTGCTGTAGCCAGATTGCACATTAATATAAGTGAAATATACTGTGTACTTAAATTCCATATTCTTAATTTATCAAGGAAGAAAAAAATATTTTATCTAAAATAACTATATTTTAGAAATATTTTTAGTGAATCTTGAAACAGTTCTATGGTGTTAATTTTTATATCACAAAAAAGATATAATTAGTTATTTTGTGTTCCATTTAATTAGTATTTTATCTATCACATAACTGTGAAGTTTTGTGTACTATAATTAAGTAGCACTCCTTATGCATTACAGCAAATATTTTTCCCACTCTTGAAGACCATAAAAGAAAGAAAGAATCCATGTTATATTTTTCTTGAGTTACGGTTTCACTCTGTCACCCAGGCTGGAGGGCAGTGGCATGACCATGGCTCACTGCCTCCTTGAATTCCTGGGTTCAAGCTATCCTCCCACTTCAGCTTCCCAAGTACCTGGGACAAGCACGAGTCACCACGACTGGCTAGTTTTTACTTTTTTTTTGAGTTGGAGTCTCACTCTGTCACCCAGACTGGGGTTCAGTGGCCGTTCCCGGCCACCGCAGCCTCAACCTGATGGGCTCCGGTGATCCTTCTGCCTCAGCCTTCCAAGTAGCTGGAATTACAGGCGCCCACTACCACATCCGGCTAATTTTTTGATTTATTGTGGAAGATGAGGTCTCGTCAAGTTGCCCAGACAGGTCTCAAACTCACGGGCTCAGGCCATTGGCTCACCTCAGCCTCCCAAGGCGCGGGATTACAGGCTGAGCCACGAGCCCGGCTAGTTTTTACTTTTTTTGAAGAGATGATATCTCACCATGTTGCCACGCTGGTATGGAACCCCTGGGCTCAAATGATCCTTGGGCCTTGGCCTCCCAAAGTGCTGGGATTACAGGCATGAACCACTACACCCAGCCTGCTTTTATTCTTTATTTTTAATTTGGTTTAGATTAGCTTAACTACAACTGTAATGTCTATTGGGTTAGATGCCAATAATGAATACCTCATATTTCCCTTCCTTAACATGATGTACTGATTTAATTGATGAAATATTCATACCAAACCAACCTTGTTCAACTGTATGGCAAGCTTAAATATTTTTTGTTTAAAGCACATTATATTATTATCCACAAATAGATACTTTTTTGTTGTTGTTTGAGTTGGAATCTCACTCTGCCACCCAGGCTGGAGTGCAGTGTCACGATCATGGCCACCGCAGCCTTGACCTGCTGGGCTCAGGCTGTCCTTTCACCTCGGTCTTCCAAGTAGCTGGAACCATAGGTGTGTGTTGCCATGCCCAGCTAATTAGTTTATTTATTTATTGTAGAGTTGAGGTCTCACCAAGTTGCCCAGGCTGTTCTTGAACTCCTGGGCTCAGGCAACCCTCTCACCTTGGCCTCTCAAAGTACTGGGATTACAGGCATGAGACACTGCACCTGGCATACATCACAAACATGCTATGAGATGAAAATATTTTATACTTGAAGCAATTGTACTATCTATTAGTGTGGTCATAATAATATAGTTTTACATTATGAGAGACATGACAGTCATCATTATCACATTTGGGCTTAAAAAGGGTTCATTAAAATATATTTTATAATCAATGTCCTCTTTTTAAATCATCTCTGAAAACTATTTCAGGTTCTTTTGCTTAATTAAAAGGAGAAAAAAATTATTTTAAAAAGTTCAAGAGCTCTGATTTTAAAATATTAAAGTTATAATCTAAAAGTATTTCATAGGTTACTGATTTTGAATATAACGAGTCCATGTTGAATAAATTTGATTTCTCCTAGTTAATTTGGTTTTCTACTTTTTTTTTAATAAACAGGGACTACAAAGACAATATTAAAAAAGTTGATGATGGAGTGAAAGAAATTGTGTCCATGTTTAACCATTTTTATGGAAATGATGGGAAAACAACATTTGTTTTTACCTCTGACCATGGAATGACAGACTGGGGTTAGTGCATCTTTAAGTGATATGTACCTTACAATTAAAGTAGTGGTAAATGTAGCTTGCAAATATAATGTTGAGAGGATTAGATGACTTATTATATGCAAAGTGTCTACCACATAATAATTCTATGCTTAGGATGTTAGCCTAAGAAATGACTGGTCTTATGTAATGAATTTTTCTCTAACTAAAAAAGAATATATTCTCATGAGAAATGTAAGCAAGAAAAGTGTGGAAAAGAAAATTAAAAAGTACCTATTATTCATCTTTCTAGCAGTAACTGCATGTGATGGCAAAAGGGGTGATGTTACTGAGGGACTGCTGAAATTCTGTCCTCATTTTTGCTTATACTCTCTGTAAAATGAGGCAAAGATGAAGTTTGAGTCCCCAGATGACAATATAGAGTTCTAGTGAGCTGGATTCTACTTTATAAAGGTCTTCTTTTGGCGACACCAGCACGAGTGGCCTGGAAGAAAAGGATTCTGAGACCTCACCATCCTCTCCAGAACAGACCTGACCTACACCGTTTGCCCATGGTTGAGTGGTTACTGTCCAAAGGAGCTCTCCCCTACTCTTTCTGTCTTCGGTGCTATTCTGGCAGCAGCAACATCTCTTCCATATCTTATTGTTATTATGTTTATTCCTTCAACCCGCAGGTGTTCCACTTTTTTTTGTTTTAGTTTTTGCCGATTTGTTGTTGGTGCACTCTGACTTGCTTTACAGGAATATTTTCAAACTAATTGTTATAAAAAGTTGTACGCATTTGGGAATGTGGTGGTTAGAATTAAAATATGGATCAACTTTTTAAAGCAAAGTATTTTTTAAAATGTTTAGCTGTAAGTCAGTTATTTTATACTTGCCTGATTACTCTTGGTATCTTATTTATAGGTTCCCATGGGGCTGGCCATCCTTCAGAGACTTTAACTCCTTTGGTCACATGGGGAGCTGGAATCAAGTATCCTCAAAAAGTATCAGCTCAACAATTTGATGATACGTTTTTGGAAGGTATAAGTGTTTGTCTTTATTGTTTTCATGAATATAGCATTTAAAAATAAAAACAATTTAATTTTTTAAAAAATCATTTTTCAAATTATGGTTTTAAATCCCTCATTTTGATATTTGTGCCGTTACTATTTCTATGCAAGCACTACAAACCAAGGGAGTTGTTGATTTGCCATTTGTTGAACATTTCCCAGCATACCACTCCTAATAATTATGTAGGCCTTTCTAAATGTATGATAAACTGAATTTTTCTGTCTTCTTTTATTAAATTAATTTATTAATTTGAGTGCGAGGTAAAGATTAAATAAGAAGAAATCTAAGGTTTCTTAGAAGTATATCATAAATTTGATAGATATACTATCAAGTCCCAATATCACAGTACTTACAAGACATATCCATTGGATAAAAAGCTAAATGTGGTATTCAGAGATTTCTGCCCTGCGCCCTAATAATGATAAAAGGGCACAGTAAGTAATGTACTCAACAACACGTCTTCAGTAACGGCCTTTCAGAGGGTGTTTTTGCATATTTGTCAGTGCCAGGAGAGCATCGTGCCAGATCACAGGACTACAGAGGAGACATTTGACAAAGGACCAGAATAATGCAGCCAGTATGCTGTCATGATATTTCCAGATTTATTTAAACATAAAATGAAAAGGATCTAAGTGCCTCTTGTTTTTCATCTACTACATATCTTTGAGATAGTCCTTGCTGTCATAGAACTTACTTAGCATTCTAGTAGGAAAGTTATCAAACAAAAGTTAAAGATTATGAGGGTGATGTGTTAAAGTAGTTAAGGAAAGGTGGGAGTGAACTCCTTCCCTGTTCCCCATATTTATTTTATTTTATTTTTTTAGAGATGGGGATCTCTCTGTGTTTCCCAGGCTTGATTTGAATCTCCTGGGCTCAAATGATCCTTCAACCTCAGCCTCCCAAGTAACTGAGGCCACAGGCATGTACCACTGCATCTGGCTTTGCCCCCCACATTTTTATTGAGATATTTGGTAAACTAGGCAAAGTGCATTAACCTTAAATGTATAACTTGATGAATTTTACATGCGTATATATGCTGTGTGTATAAATTTACCACCCAGATTCACAGATACAACATTTGCAGTATCTTTAAAGTTTCCCTTGTGGAGTAGGATTCTTTTCTAGAGTGCACTAATTCTATGTTCACAGAGAAGATGAGAGAGAGAGCCATTCACTTGAAGGTATAGGCAGGAGTGTTTTAGGCAGAGGGAATAGCAAATGGAGAGCCATAAAACGGAAAGAGTTTAGCTAGCCTGAGGAAAAAAAAGAAGACTGAGGTGGGCTGAGCACTGTCCACCAGGAGGGGAGATATTTATGGTGAGTCGAGGGGGTGGAGGTTCAAACAGAAGGTAGATCTTTGGAACATGAAGTGAGCTCTGAGTACAGTGCTACATCATTGCAGGGTGTTAAATGGAGCACCATAATTCCAGTTTGTTGCACGAGAGCACATTTTTGACTGCTCTGTGAGAAACAGATGAGGTTTTGTCTAAATAGGAGCTAGGGTAAATAGTATGTTTGTACTTAGGACATTTAACTTTATTTTGGCATTCGATTTCTCATTGAATTGGTGTTTTAAAATCACATGACTTCAAAAATCATCACAGAAGGAATACATTTTTTTCTTATGTGAATATTAAATATCATAAGTTATAGAGAAAGGGAAAGTGCAGTTTTTCTCATTAGGTGATGAGTGTGAATTTTTGGCCGCTTACTAGTAGAAACAAACCTTTTTAAACTTTACTAGCTTATTAAAGGAAATTTCATCATAAAAATATCATAGCATCCTTTTGATAATATAGCTTAAAGCCATTAAATCAAGAATTGGTCTCTCAGAATCACTTGTTTTGATTGCCATTCAGTGCAGTTTCTGAATTTATATGTAGAAAGACTGGAGAATGAGGCTATCTTTGAAGGTAGTTTTAATAACTCAGTATACAATGTTAACATTTGGGGTGAGTGATGCAGGAACATCACAGCTACAATTTTAAGGATTTCACAAGTAACTGCCATCATAGAAAAAAAAGAGAAGCTTAGATTAATTAACGTTCTATCAATTGTCTTAATCACTTTCTGGAACAGGATTGTAATGAGTTTTCATGCTGACAGTTGTTATCATTGTGCTTTTTTACTTCCATCTTTCCTTCCTTAGCCTTTGATATTTTGAAACAATTATTTCCAAATGAGCATTTAAAAAGCTTAATAAATCATCACAGAAAACTACAAATGTTTACTCTCTTTCTTTCTTTTTTTAATATACCCCTGCTTTTTTAAGCAGCATTTAAACTCATTCTTGCCTTAAAACAGAGAGACATTTCCAATACTTACATTTTCCATTAAGTGTTAACCACTCCTAAAAATTTAAATGATTTATGCTTTTTAAAATCTTAACAGAGATCATGTGGTCTTATTGTGCCTTTCAGAGTGGAACTTGGAAAACTGGAAGAGGCAAGATGTCAATCAGGTATCCATTTCAATTTAATCACATTCAAATGTTTCTCTTATAAGAAGTTTAGATAAAGAGTAGGAAAAATTAGGTGCATTAATAATAATAGTGATAAAACCTTTTTCTAAACATTTCAGTTACTAAAGGGAATACTTTTAGTCAAATATTTTAACCCAATTAACTTCTCTTGTGGCAAAATTTAAAAAAAAAACTCAAGTGAAAATAGAAGACTCTCTTCAAATAACACTGCATAATTATTTGTTATACAAATAAAAATTCACATGCCTGTTAAATTTCTATGATTTCTTGTCATGGTTGCATTGCATACTTTAGGCACAATTAGCAGACCAAGGCAGTGGGAGGGCTTTCCAGTCTATAGGGAGCCACATGTACATGTAGCTGAGATAAGAGAGTACATGGTGTATTAAAGGGTCTTGAAGAAAGTTGTTATACAGAGCAACAGAGACTGTTGGGTGATGTGAGGCAGAAGCCTGGAAAGCATAGACCCTAGGGCCTTGTAGGCCTTGTGGACTTAATCCTAAAATCCCGGAGAGTCCTTGAAGTGTTTGAAGCCTGAGAGTGACGTGATCTGGTCTTTTGTGAAAGAATCTGCCTGACTGCAGCATGGAGAAAAGATTAGAGGTGGCCAACAACAGTTTGTAGGGAAAAGAGAAAAGGGGATTAGTAGGACTTTGGAGATTTCCAGTTTTCTGGGGGTTGGTACTTAGAAAAGACAGCCTACATTGTAACAAAGGAAAAGGATTGAGAGCCTGAGACTAAACTTGATGAATGCCACCTTTAAATGAGAGACTATAGAAGGTTTCTGAGAAGGAGCAGCTAATGAGATTGAATAAACTCAACTGTGTGATGTTAACAGAAGCCAAGAAAGGCGTGATCTATGCCATGCTGCTGAGAGGGCTAGTAATAACAATAACCGCAACAATTGTAACTGTCATTTTTATGTATTAGGCATTTTTTTTAAGTTTTATCTCATTTAATCCTATCATAATGTTATAAGGGAAAAACTTTTACTTATTTATTTTTAATTGATAAGGAAACTGAAGCACTGGAAAGGTTAAATGACCTGCAGGATCTCAGAGATTGCAGACAAGGATTTGAAACTGGGCATTCTGATTTCTAAATACTTTATTGCCTGAAAAATTATAAAGACCAATGTAAACACAGTCAATTTGATTTAGAAAAATGGAAATTGTTTGCTCTCTTAGGGAGAGCAGTCTAAGGAATGATAAAGGGTCAAAGCAAGTTATGGTGGGCTGAGGAGAGATGAGAAGATGAGGAAATGAACACAGAAAATGTGAAGATCTCTTCTGAGAAATTGCAAAGGGAGATATCCAAAATGACACTTGGGGTCTTTGGATCTAAGAGCCTCTTCTCTGGAAGAGGATTTCTCTGGATGGCCAAATCTCCTTCTGATAGATACTTTATTTAGTTAATATATACATTTCTCCAGTTAAAGTCTATTCTTGATATTTATTTTCTGTGTAGTTAAGGTGTCCTTTACATAATCCTGAAAAACGGTTACATAAAATGGTCAAGTTCTTAGCTAACAGGCTAAGTAATTTTTTGTTTTAATATGTTTTACATTTAGGAATCTTAATGGTTTCTTTTCAAATTTACTTTTTCATAATTTTTTGTACCTCTAGTAAATGTCATTTTTAGCGATTAATATCTTGTGTGTATTTAAATAAATGTTTGAAGGTAATTGGGTTATGACAGATATCATGGTTATATTCCAAAATAGTTGCAGTAAATTAATTTCTTGTAGATATCTATAGATGTCATAGAATTGAACTTTTTCTATATATATAGGCTGATATTACACCATTGATGGCTTCCCTCATTGGAGTTCCCTTTCCCCTTAATTCAGTGGTAAGGAATAAAAGTTTTTTATTAACTCTCAGTATTTAAAAAATTGCACAATGAAATTTACTCTTTTTATGTGTTTCTGTATTATCTTTGCGTATGTTTGAAACCATATATTCCTGTATTTTTCTAAATAGGTAATACTTCATAATTATATGTGTATTATAATCTATAACATGGAACACAAGACCAATAGCTTTTTTTTTTTGAGTTGGAGTCTCACTCTGTCACCCAGACTGGAGTGCAGTGGCCGCTCCCGGCCACCACAACCTCGACCTGCTGGGCTCTGGCGATCCTTCCGCCTCAGCCTTCCCAGTAGCTGGAATTACAGGCATGTGCTACCACGCCTGGCTGATTTTTTGATTTATTGTAGAGATGAAGTCTCGCTGCCCAGGCGGGTCTTGAACCCGCAGGCTCAGGCAATCCACTCACCTCAGCCTCCCAAAGGCACGGGATTACAGGCTGAGCCACCAAGCCTGGCTCCAATAGCTTTTAAAAAAATATATTTTCTAAAATGTGTCTGATTTTTATCTTTGTGTTCTAGTTATAAGTGACAAAAATGTATAAATAACGTTCTAAGTACAAGCAGCAGAAACTTGAGTCCATTTAAAGAGAAATTACTGAAAAACGATTGGTAGTTTGCTGAATCAAAGCTGTACTTGGAAAACCAGGCTTGGAAATGACCAGGCACTAAGAGAGCTCTGGAGACTTGGAAAAAGGAACCACAACCACGAGGCCACCTATGGCAGGGCCATTCTGCTGAGGTCACTGACATGAGGGTAGTGTAAGCGTTATACCCATTTTAATTGTTGTTCCTTGACTCTCAAGAGTCAAATTCTAAGGGGTGTAGCCTCAGTTATTTGTCTGCTCTTCAGTAAGGCAGGGCAGGGTGCCTTATAAACCTACCATGTTAAGCACAAGCATGGATACTGAAAAGCCAAAAAAGAAACAAAAAATATCTATTCTAACCATCCACTCTTATTCCTCAAGAGTCAAACTTCCTTTTAAAAAAGGCACAGAGATGAGTGGATTGCCTGAGCCCGCGGGTTCGAGACCTGCCTGGGCAGGCGAGATCTCATCTCTACAATAAATCAAAAAATTAGCCGGGCATGGTAGCGCACGCCTGTAGTTCCAGCACTTGGAAGGCTGAGGTGGAAGGATCGCCAGAGCCCAGCAGGTCGAGGCTGCGGTGGCTGGGAATGGCCACTGCACTCCAGTCTGGGTAACAGTGAGACTCCAACTCAAAAATAAAATAAAATAAAATAATAATAATAATAATAATGTTATGTAACTCAGAATGCTGAGTAATATGACCCCAGCAGTCATAGAGTGTTTATATGTGCATAACGGAAACAAAAGTTTTGTAGATTAGTCCTTATGCTCTCATATGTTTTATGTCTCTCTTTTTTAAAGTATGCTGTCTGTGGCCCACCGCAGTGATTGTTGTTTGTGTGTAAAGCACATAGTTCACTGCCTAGAACATAGTAATCTCACAATCAATGCTCAGTTTTATTAAATTTAATTAATCTCTTTCACTTTTTATTATATATACATCGGGAGAAAAATAATAGACCATATTTCGATTATGGTTTAAAAAAAGATTATTCATTTAACTCTTTCAGTTATTTATTTGTCCATATGCCTTATCTTTATTGCTTTCCTTTTAAGTCTGTTTTGTTCTATGAGAATAGCCTGAGCTTTGTTAATACTAACAATAAACCGGTGTTTATTATTTGCAGGGAATCCTTCCTGTGGGTTATCTTAATAACTCTGACCTCTTCAAAGCAGAGAGTATGTTTACGAATGCAGTACAGATTCTTGAACAGTATAAGGTAAAACAAAACAAAACAAAAGACACAAAAATGGATAATACTACTATTTAAAAATTGAATATATTAAGTGAAAATATTTGATTTTGTGTGTTTTTAATTTTTAAAATTTTGTTTAGAGACAGAGTCTCACTCTATTGTTCAAGCTATAGTGCAGTGGCACAGTTATTGCTCACTGTAGCCTCATACTCCTGGGCTCAAGGGATCCTTCCACCTCTACCTTCTGAGTATCTAGGACTACACACACATGCCATCATGTCTGGCTAATTTTTCTTTTTTTTTTTTTCTGAGTCAAGATCTCATTCTGTGGCCCAGCCTAGAAAGTAGTGGCACGATCATTGCTCACCACAGCCTTGACTTTCTGGGCTCAGGTGATCCATCTGCCTCAGCCTCTCAAGTACTGGTACTGCAGGCATGTACCACCACATCTGGCTAATTTTTTCTTTTCTTTTTTTTTTTTTTTTTTTGTCGAGACAAGGTTTCGCTATATTGCCCAGGCTAGTCTTAAATGCACAAGCAATCCTCCCACTTCTGTCTCCAAAAGTACTGGGATTACAGGTGTGAGCCACCACCCCCAGTCTAGTATTTTTTTTCTTTTTTTGTTTATAGAGATGGGGTCTCGCTATGTCATCTAGGCTGTTCTTAAACTCCTAGACTCCAGCCATCCTCCTGCATTGGCCTCCCAAAGTTCTGGGATTACAAGTGTGAGCCACCGTTCTAGGCCTGATTTTATGTTGTAATAAATGATTTTCTATAATTTATTGTCTTTAAATTTGTATTTGTGTATTTGGCTAGTGTTTCACATTTCAAAAGAGCAGGTTCTGTGACTGAATTTGAGGGTACAGAATTACCTTTGAGGAGTGTCCCTGAGTGTAAAATTATTACATATGCTTATAAAGACTATAAATCAAGTCTTTATCTATTGGCATTTTCCCTATAGAAGTAGTATTAGAGATTGCAACATTTCTTATCATTCTGTGTATCTTTGGATACATTAAGAATTTAAAAAGAGGCGAACTTCTGACTGAAACTTTGTTATTCTTAACACTGATAAGAATAAGCTGTTTGATTTACTTTGTTTTCAAAGAGTTAGGGAAGCAAAGTTTTAATTACATTACAGTATGTTATTTTGCAGGATTGACATGTTTAATTTTTAGTTAACTGAGATAATGAGAAAATACTTAATTTTTCTTTCAATATTTATAAAACACTATAGTAACACAAAGTTCCATTATCAAAGTAGTTAACCATCCCTAAAGAATCATTTTAATGGATGTTTATATTTCAAAATGAACTTTATTAATTGTTTTCTCATTTACAATATAATAAAAAAATTTTTATACTTGGTTCTCAGGTGAAAATGACTCAGAAAAAAGAAGTAACTTTATCGTTTTTGTTTACACCATTTAAGTAAGTCTCTTAATTTTTTTATTTACTTGAAGGAAATAATTTTTCACTGAATTTTGTGCTGATTGAATAGATTATTTTACTTACACACTTTATTTATGTTTTGCATACATTGGTACAAACTCCAAACTGAAAGTCTCTTCTATTACATTTGTTAAATGATGAGCCAGATGCTAAATCAATTTGATTGGTTGGAAGAGGGGATAGAGGGATGAAGAGATGTATGAGAAACGTCAAGGAGATCAGCTCCATAGAGCTTGACTAGTTGGCTAGGCTGGTGTGGAGGCAATAAGGAATAGAGAAGTGTATGACTCCTTGGCTCTTGGTTTGGTAGATTAGGAAGATGCCAGTATCATGATGGCTTACAGAAAGAAGAACTAGTTTGAGAGATAAGGGTGAATGTTGTTAAGTTCAACTTACATTTAAAGATATCAAGTTAATTAATTAGAAACAGGGGCTTGGATCTCAGATGTGTGTTGGTTGTGAAGATTTTGGAGCCATCAGAATAAAGCTGGTGCTGGAAACTTACACGTGTAGAAGGCTCTAGGGAGATCATAGAAAGTGACAAAAAAAGACCAAGGATAGAATTCTAGGAAACATTGACTCCTACTGGCTGGGCAAAGAAGAGAGCTGACTTTGGTGGGTGGCAGATTTTCCTGTCCCCAATCCCAGGAAATTGTGTTTTCCTGGAAGCGGAAAAGGAGAGATCTGAGTGTGTATGTGGGCTTGAGTCCTCGAGGTTCACATTCAGTTAGCGAGGATTTTTCTACTGACCAAATAAATAGATGTTGTTTCATCTGTGAATCTTAGGGATCTGATGTGAGTGAATGACTTCATGGGAATTATTTCTGGCAACTTAGGTAGACGAGTGTGGTCTTTAACTAGAAAGGCTTAAATATGGTGTCGTCCTCTACCTCTAAATTATGTGGTTGTGAAGTTTGTGTGTTCGTATGTATGATAGGAGGAAAAATAAAATGAAATTAGGATTTTGCAAGTTATGATCATATCAAATTAATTGTCAATATGTCATTAGGATATTATATTATCATCTCTTACGCTAATTCTAATTTCCTTTTATTGTAGTATAGTAGAGTTGGGATTTGTTAATGGAATTGGTTCTGAGGAATATGTAGGTAGGTGTTCATATCTTTTTCAAGAAATATTTATTGATTGACTACTATGTGTATTATGGATATAGCAATGCACAAGATCAACAAAAGCTTTGCATAGAGTTTATTTACACTAGCAATACAGACAGGTCATAACAAAATCAACAAACGAACAAGAAATACATTATTAATTTATTTTATGAACAAAATACACGGCCTTTGAGAGTGAGAATAAGTGAAGGTTACTTTAGACCACCCACTTTAGAAAGGTTGGCCAGGGAAGGACTCTCCAGCAGGGGTTCAGGTGCACACCCCACCTCCTTAAGGCATGGCGTGGGAGCGGACCATAAACTTCTCCTACTTTGATGCCCGCATACATATTTAGAGCCACTGCTAACTTTGTGTCAACTGGAGTTGACCCTCGCCTGGCAGGATGGCTGATTCCTACTCACTGGCCTGCCCGGTGATGAGCCCTTCCCGTAGACCTGTCTGGCTAAAAACCACCACATCCTGAAAGCCTGTATTATGACTGAAAACGCCTAAATAACGTGAGAAATTGACTCTTGAGAGAATATATGATTAAAGGAACAGAACCAAACTTAAAAATATTAAAATTCTCAGAAATATTTAGAAATCTGTTGCATCCATAAAACAAAGCCTGCCTAAACTTTATAAATGAAAAAGGGTGTCGGATGCATTAAAAACAATTTTCATGTTTAATTAATATAATGCACTAAAAGCTTAAGGAAAGAGAAATTTTGTAGTCACATCCTCAGAATTAGATTAGGAAGTGAGTAAACTTCGAGCTAAATGAGATGAATTTTAAGTAATAGTAGGAAGCTGGAGGAAATTAAGAACATGATGACATACACAGAAAACATACATTTCTTCATTCCTCCAAAAATGCAATGACAATCAGAATTAAGGGAAAAAGAAGCATTTTAAACTTTACAAGTGAGCATGTTTCAAATATGAAGCAACCTCAGATGTGGCATGGTTTTCAACAGTTGCTGGAAGTATGAGAAAGGGAATTGATTGGAACATTGTCACATGGATCAAGGCTTTAAATAAATACATGAGAAAATCTAATCGTAGTGTAAAACTTTGTTATTCATGAATAGTATTTAAATAGTTATACTAATGTAAATGTTGATTTCAGCATTTAGAGTCAATCCTTAGGCAAAGCAGGGAAGAATGAATTATGATTACAAAATAGAATGCAAATGTTACCAACCTTGACAGTGTACAAGTACAGTTCACACTTTGGAAGGCAGAGAGAGGGGGAAGGTTATGAACATGCAATAATAGTTATGCCTTTGTCCTTATAATAGAATGTGAAGAATTCTGTCTGTAGTTGAAAGAATGTCAGAAGTTACATATTCGATTTTAGAGTAACCAAGGTAGCCAAAACAGGAGGTTAAAAATAGTGATACAGGCTGGGCTCTGTGGCTCAGCCTGTAATCCCAGCATTTTGAGAGGCCGAGGCGAGTGCACTGCCTGAGTCCTCAGGTTCAAGACCAGCCCAGGCAATTTGGTGAGCCCTCGTCTCTACAATAAGAATTTTTTAAAAATTATCTGGGCATGGTAGCGTGTGCCTATAGTTCCGTCTACTTGGAAGGCTGAGATGGAAGGATCGCCGGAACCCAGCAGATGGATGCTGGGGTGGCATAAGCATGCTGCCACACTCCAGCCTGGGCAATGGAATGAGATTCCGACTCAAAAAAAAAAAAAAAAAAGTATTTTAATCATTGGCACTAATCAAGTAGCATGTGCAATAGGAAAAAAAGATGCTATTTAAAATACCCAGGAATAAAACAATGAGAAGTGCATATTGTGGGTAAAACTACCAAATTTTCTTTAAGGATATAACAATGTATAAATAAATAATTAAATGTTGGATGGTACTGTTCAATATTGTAAAAATGTTGGTCCTTTCCAAATTACTTATTAAACGTAGTATGATACAAAACAATTTTTTCCATAGCTCAAGAAGATTTTAAAATGTATATCAAAAAATAAATTCTCATTAATAACTTGACTATATTGAGAAAGAAGAACAAGATGAGAGATTGGCTTTCCTGGAGAGCAAAACACATTCTAAAGCTATTATAACTGTAATAAATGTGATATGGGTACAACCCAAGCCTAGAGACTTAACAGATTGATTAGAGAGTACCTAAAAAGGAGGACACTTGAGGAGTCTGAGACCAGTCTGGGGAACATCGCAAAAACTCTATCTCTAAAAAAGTAAATATTCAAAAAATTAGCCGGGCATGGCGGAGCATGCCAGTAGTTCCAGCTACTCAGGAGACTGAGGCAGGAGGATCCCTAGTCCAGGAGTTCAGGGCTGTGATGAGCTATGTAGAGCTAAAAAGTTCAGTATCAACACGGTGACCTCCCAGGGGCTGGGAACAACCAGGTTGCCTAAGGAGAGGCAACAGTCAAAACTTCTGTGCTGATCAGTAGTGGGATTGCGCCTATGAGTAGCCCTGCACTCTAGCCTGGACAACGTAGTGAGACCATGGCTATTAAAAAAATAAAAATAAAAATTCAGTAAAATAAACCTTAAAAAGTTAAATGTGTTCAGATTAGGGAAAAATATTTGTAAAATATGTAACAAGTATTATAATTTACAGACTCTATAAAGAATATATAGACTTTCGAGAAAAAGGATAAACAACCTTATGGAAAATGGACAGTTGATAAGTGAAAATTCACAAAGGAAAACATGCAGATGATCCATACATTATATGAAAAATCCACCTCACAATTATTGTGCATTTACTGTTCACAAGGCACTGTTTTATGTGCTTCTTATGTGTTAGATAAATTACCCTCAACTTTGTGAAGCATCTGCTATTATCCTCCTCATTTTACAGATAAGGAAATTAAGTCACAAAGAAGTTAATTAATTTTTTCTGAGATTATTCACTTGTAAGTAGCAGAGCCAGGACTTGAAGCCAGGAAATCTGGCTTGAGAGTTTGGTATACCCTTCACAGGTGCAGCCACTTGGTGAAGTGCTTTTGCAATCTCTTTTAAAAGTAAGAACACCAAATGTATGCCTAAGAAAATCTTCTCAAAGTCTCGTCTCAGAGAAATACTTGTATGTGCACAGTATCCTCTATTAAGGTGAAGACTGGCAAAAATGTCCATCAGTAGGAGGAATGGGTAAATTAACACTGTAACTAACATCCATACTGTGAACTAGCATATGACAGTTAAAGAAGGAAGAGGTAGGCTTATAATACATATATGGGAAGGTTTGTAAGGTAGCTTGTTGGGTGAAAAAAAAGTATATAACTAAAATATACTATGATATCTTTAATGTTAAAAATATAGAGCAATACTACTGGTCCATGTGTGACTGCATAAGGTATGGATGTACACATGCCTAACTGATGGAGTGCTTTAATGAAGATATTAGCTAGCATTGTAATAAGAATTTATTACGTATTCACTTATATAAAGTTGGAAAAGACATCAGAGCCAGGTGGAATACTAAATATGTTTAGTGATCTTAAGAGTATTTACTTTTACCTGTTAAACTTCATTTCTCCTTTGATATATTTTGAAATATATTTGGAGGCATTGACTAAATGTTATTTAACTCTGCATTACAACTCTTCAGTGTTTGGTATACAAGGAAAAACAGTTGTCACCATTTACTATCTGAGAACAGTGGACCCTTTATTTCTCTAGTTCAGTGATTTTTTTCATTTCTACATCATCTGTTTCTTTTTAGCCGCCTTCATATATATGCATAATGTTAATTGTCTTCTTAGAGGCTATGTCAAGTAAATGTTGGTCCATAAATATCATAAAAGATGAAAGAATACTGTTGCCATACATTCTTTTAGCAAAAAAGGTAGCCCAAGTTTTTGTCACAAACTATT